ACAGAATTTTATTTTTAGATCAGATGTCAATTTTTTTTCTTTCTTTTTTCTATTTGTCTGTTTATTTAATACAATTAAATTTATACGATCATTATTTATTTTACAATTAAGTAACTCATTTCAAATTTAAATGTGTATCTAAATGTCTTTTATACCTTATCAAATTGACTAATACTCAATAATAACGTAGACAACTATTTTTTCATCTCATGGGTCCCTACCAAAACAATATATATTTTATTTTAGTCAACAATTATCTTTATTTAAGAGATAAAATCTTTATTTTCAAATGTCAAAATTTTCTTTTTTTTCTCTTTCTCCAACTCACGGATTCCTTTTTTATTTTTGTACTGTTATTTAATACAATTGAATTTATATGATATTGTTCATTTACAATTAAGTAACTCATTTCAAATTTACATGTATAACTAAATATATTCTATTACATAGTTGTGCAGACAACTAATTTTCCATCTCACGGGTGGTCATCAACAAAATACCTATATTATTTTTAATCAACATTAATTGAATTTATATGATAATTGTTTATTTTACAATTAAGTAACTTATTTCAAATTTACATATGTATCTATATATATTTTATACCGTATGAAATTAGATAATGCTCAATGGTTGTTGTAGTGTTATATCTGCAGATAACCTTGCCTAGGGCGACAACTTGACACCTCGCCAGGAAAAGGTGATGACGCAAGGTCGCCTGAAGGGAGGTACTGTCTCGCCCTTAAGTTTTCCTCGCCCTTGAAAAGGAAAATGTGGGATAAATCGTGACTTGGATAATGAGAAAGTCATAGTCGTTACTAACCATATCCCCCCTGAAAATAGAGATTCAAATGTCCACCTTTTAACTAGGGGCGATGGTTTTTATTCAAGAAAACACTAGGTATTGGAAACCCTTATAAATACAATACCCCTCAGGAGATAGGGGATCAGATAATACACACCCACTACTGCTCAAAGAGCATTTCACTCTGAGTAGTCATAACATCGTCAATTCAACTGCTCACCTGCGCCTAGCAGCTCTGGCCACCAACAAAGTCTTTTCACCTCACGTGAGTTTGTCCCTTAAACAGCCTTAAAAATCATCGTACAAGGCTACTCGTTGCCTTAAGACCTCTGAATCTTCTTGCCCTTGCAGGGAGAACACGCAACCTTGTACTTTTTAAACAATACAATCGTGTAAACAACTAATTTTCCATCTCACAAGCCATTATAAGCACGTATTTAATACAATTGAGTTTATATGATCATTATTTATTTTACAATTAATTAACTCATTTCAAATATATATATATATATATATATATATATATATATATATATATATATATATATATATATATATATATATATATTATAACATATCAAATATATTTACATGTATGGACGCACGAATATCTTGCTAATTAGTCTTAAATAAATGATATTGATGTGAGATCAATATAGAGAAACCTCATATTATTGTGACACGTCATAGTCTCTTATCAATAAAAGTTATTATAGCATTTTGGCCTCTATTTTACAATTTTGAGAATTAATTTTTGAATTTGCAAAACTTAGAGACTATTTTGACAATCAAATACAATTCTAGGAGCTAATATGCATATACACTCCTTTACATTTAACCACTAAATACATTTAACCATATTTTCCATGCCAATAATTTGCATTCCATTCAAAGAGAACCTTTAAACTTTCTACCACCTTCTCTCTTCTGCCAAGATTTGACATGTTGTTCTTACAAGTAACATAAAACTAAGAAATAGTTAACTGAGGTTCCAATTAAAGCATGGAAACAGATTCCCAGTTACCTAAAGGAGTTGGAGACAAGAATGTGATATATGTCTCTACTTTCTAATTTCTAATGATGCATACAAGTCACAACCACTTGGAAATTCCGTCAAAAGAATAAGAAGCTAATGGTTCTAAGAATAGTAACATCCTTTCATCACTTTGGATTATATTCATTCATAAAGGAAGCTAATTATTCTGATATCAATTGAGAAAGGTATAAATATAATATGCAAAACGTGATTTTATTATTATTAGCACTGCTTTATTTCAGTAAGCTTAATTCAAGCAAGGGAATAGTAAGGGAATGAGAAAAATATGGCTAAAGGAGTCACCAAGTAGAATCTCTCAAAAGTGTTGATGTGATAAAGGAATGTTAATCATGTTGGTTCTACTCTACTATCTCCTATGAGGTTAATAACTCCTCTATATATTAAAGAAGACAATATGCATCAAACCATTCCTTCCAAAACTAACAACAAACTACAAATTTGAAAGAGGAAGTTGATCATGATGCAATGCCATGTATTGTGCAAGCCAGTTACTACCTTGATTATAGTTAACTTAGCTCTTGCTTTTGTCAATTTACTTCTTAAAATGGTTCTCAATGAAGGAATGGACTACATGTCAATTGTAACATATCGACAAGCAATTTCATTCATCTTCATGACACCTATTGCGTGGTTCTATGAAGGGTAAAAGTCCTTATGTGTTTCGTACAACTTATTTATAACTTGTTTGGGCATATTGAAGCAAGTTTAAAAAATTGCTTATATGACAAAGCAGTTTTCAATTTTTTTTATACAGGAAACACAAACTGGAGGCTCACATAATATGTCTCCTTTTTCTATCTGCTCTTGTCGGGTAAGAATTATCGGGACGAAAGAACACGCTTATAGTTATGTGCTAATGTTTTTAACTGTAATGATAACTATAGTTTTCGACTAAATAACATTCTATGAATGCCTTTCAGAGTAACACTCCCCCAATACCTGTTTCTTCTTGGACTTGAGTATACATCTGCTACAGTCTCATGTGCATTCCTCAACATGGTGCCTGTATTTACATTCATCATGTCACTTCCATTTGGGTAAGTTAAACAAAAAGACATAATTACTTGATTGCGGTAATAGTATAACTACAATAAGTTATAATTACCTTTTGGTTTGAAAACTTTCTAGGATAGAGAAGGTGAACTTGAAAAGCAAGAGTGGTAAAGCCAAAACCTTGGGAGCTATTGTGTGCATTGGTGGAGTTTTGGTATTAGCCCTTTATAAAGGAATTCCCTTAAACAACCCACAGTCTCAACACATAGAAAATAGATATAGAAGTGTGCCACCAGCTGCAAAGTTGGAGAAATGGATTATAGGTTCAACACTTCTGACTGCAGGTTGCCTTTTGTGGTCTTCATGGTTTGTTATACAAGCAAAGATTAGCAAAAAGTATCCATATCAATACTCTAGCACTGCTATTTTGTCACTTTTTGCTACTATTCAATCAACAATATTAACTTTGGTCATCAAGGGAAACAATGCCTCATGGATCCTCAAAGGAAAGCTAGAAATAGTGTGTGTAATATATTCTGTAAGTATGCTCTTTGCGATGAAATGAAATACACACATCATGTACAAGGTTTTCAAAAGGATTTGGGTGTAGTCAAAAATCATGCGCTTTCACGCAGCCAGCACATCGTGGTCATTTAATCAAGATTGGATAGTCAGATTTCAAGCATGATATTTTAGAGTTGCAAAAAAAAATCAATTCTTTGCTTTCTGCATCGTCCGATCTTGATTAAACTGCCACCCATGTGCTGACTGCGTGAATTCCCGACTGCAGCAAATTCAAATCATTTTCAAAACTATTTGTGAAGTTCATGGCTAAATATAGAAATCTTAGAACTCAAAATTGTTATTTATGCGATCCTAGGGATTAGTGGGATCAGGCTTGTGCTATGTTGCAATGTCATGGTGTGTCAAACAAAGGGGTCCAGTTTTTACAGCAGCATTTACCCCTCTTTTACAAATATTTGTAGCTGTTCTCGATTTCTCGATACTAAAGGAGGAAATATACTTGGGAAGGTTGATTTCTTTTTTCACTCTTCTATGATTTCCATACCTTTTCTTTCTTACATTGCACCTAATGTATCCCTAACTGCTATAAGCAGTATTGCAGGATCTGCCTTGGTTATTGTTGGCATGTATATTCTTTTATGGGGAAAGAGTATCGAGGAAGAGCAATGTGTCATGAAGGATACACAAGGAAATCAAGATGTAGAATGTCAATCATAAATTCCACTAATCACAACATGAATGAACAATTGCTGTACTATACTCTGCAACATGAGTGTAAACTCTCTGTTTAATTTTTATATTTCTACAAAAAAAAACTGATGTACAAAATTTGTTTCACAAAAGCATGTGGAATGGTATAACCGTATAAGGTATTTTGAATATTTTCATTTCAAAAGCATAATGGACTACTAGTATGATTTTATTTTAAGTTTGCTACAATCAATACCGTATGTAGATTCTATCAAATCACACAGGCATCTCCAACAGAACTAAAGACATCAACATCAGATTTGTGATGCAAGGATATATAGGCACCTAACAATATTTGCTAGTCATAGTTAATTCTCCTAGCAATACCTTTCTGAGTTTTCTGGTATGAAAGGCCAGGGGTCAAATCAATGGATGCCTATTAGTTTCAACTAAGATATTTTCTACCACATTTGAAATAATAAGAACCACTATTTCAATTGATGCCCATCAGTTTGGAGTAGGAAAATGGCTAATTTCCTTTGATGTAAATTCTTAATGTCAAATCTTACATATAGAAATTATTAACTCAACATACATATAAAACTATTGATTTGATTTTTATTTATGTATTTAAAATTTGTGTCTACCAAAATATGTAGTAAACAACTTGGTCAACAAACTGCCAACAATTCCAGAACCATCAGGTTTTTTTAGGCTTTTATCTAGTTATTACTACTTGTTAGAGTGCACAAACTTGTTTCCATGGTAGTTACATTCCATAAGCCTGTAACCGACATTTTGCATGGATTTCTAAACTGTGTTAAAATATGAAAACCAAAAGGATTTTGTTAACTTACATTGAAATCCAGGTCTTGTGCAATAACTTTTCCACAACAAATGTTAACTGCTACAAACTTTAACGCAATCTACTCAAAAGAGAATCAAATCATCTTCTATTGATGTATCATTCAACAAATTATCCTCCTGATTGTCTTGGTGACAGCCATGTTTCATTTGACCGACAACAAAATGTAGCATAGAATAAGTTTCATCCGAATCAGGGTGTGTTTTATCGTGGGCAATAAATCTATGAAGAATCCCAGATATTTCAACAAAACTAAACCCAGGTGATTTTTTCACTCCTCTTCTTTCCATGGCTTCTCTCATGCTCTTTGCATCATCCCAACGTTTGACAACTGCATATACATTTGACAAGCCAATATACCTTCCATCATTGTTTGGATCTAGCTCAATAAGCTTCCTGCCAACTGTTTCTGCAAGATCTAAATTTCTATGGTTAATACACCCACTAAAAAGAGCGCCTAACATGGAAGCCGTTGGTTCTATGGGCATTTGACAAATAAATTGGTATGCATTGGTTAGTTGACCTGCACGCGCCAGCACATCTACCATGCAGGCATAGTGCTCACTTTTAGGTGTCATGCCACATTTAACAAGGCTCTCAAAGAAGTACCATGCTTCTTTAACTTGTCCTCCATGGGCACAGGCAGCCAACAAGCAGAGGTATGTGATCTCATCAGATCGGATGCCGACCATTTGCATTTCCTTAAACAATTTAAGAGATTCTTCCACTAACCCATGTGTTGCAAGACCTCCAATCATTGCATTCCAAATAAACACGTCAGTTTGACTCTTTGAGATGCCGCGAAATAGAAACAAAGCCTCCTCTATTGCCCCACATTTAGCATACATGTCCACAAGAGAAGTTTGTAAGACCATTGTCATTGGTAAACAATTGTCAACAATATACTTGTGCATCATTTTTCCCTTTTCTAGAGCACCGAGATGTGCACAAGCAGACAAGACGCTCACCATAGTCACTTCATTGGCTTTGGGACCAACAGCCCGCATCTTTTCAAAGATGGCCATAGCTTCCCTGTACTCCCCAGCCTTCACATAACCATCAATCAAAGAGCTCCATGACCGAACATCCCTCTCCTGCATTGACTCAAAAACTTTCTGAGCCGAAGCCATTTCTCCACACTTGGCATAGCCGTCTAACATGGAATTCCATGAAACCAAATTTTTTCCCTGCATATTATCAAATACTTTATGAGCCCACGTAATATTCCCACAAGAAGCATACATGTGAATCAAAGAATTTTGGATAAATCTATCAGACTCATGCCCGGTTTTTATAATTTGGGCATGCACAGATACACCACTTTCCTGTTTTAAAAGGCGTGCCGAGGCCTTCATGAGAAATGGGTATGTTAGGTAGTCTGGTGCAACCCCATGTCGCAGCATCTTTAGAAAAATAAATAGGGAATGGATTGGTTTATTGCTATTTGAATAGCCTCTTATGATTGTATTCCAGCTAAAAATTGTTGGACTGGAAAGCTGGGAGAAAACCCTGTACGAATAATCAATGTCGCCTGAATTGGACAGAGCAGAAAATGAAAGGATTTTGTATATAAATGAGTCTTCATGAGATAAACCAAAAGAGATCCCAATGGCATGAAGCTTCTTCAGCTCAAGCATTGATCTGCATTTACCAAGAAGGTTGAGTAGAGTTCCATTTATATTTGCAGTTTTACTAGACAGTGACCCACCAAGCATTTACAAGTATATCTATCTTGTCACACCAGCAGGTCAAACACTTTTAGTGTATGTATCATCCGAGCAACACCTAGCGAAATCAACATAAACAGGATGTCAAAAATCAAAACCACAATCAATTAAAACATCTTAAAGAATTAGCTTAAATCAAACAGCCTAGTATGACACACGGAATATGAGAATGAATACACTCCTAAAGACATTTAATCAAACACGTAATATGCTTCATTCCCAAATTGCAGTGCAACTGAGAAAGGTAAAGAAAAACAGCCCCCCTTGGTTGTAATCCTTAAAACTAAACCCATAAATCATTCCAATCTCTGAACAAAACTAAACTGATAGATTATATCAAGTTTCAACTCAAAATATAAACTACATATGAGAAAAGTGCGCAGAAAATAAACTTAATATGAAATTTCTTTCAGGCATTTCATCAAACAACTTGCAAGCAGAAGTACAATAAATGATTCTAAAAATTTTCAAAAAGAAAACAAGACTGAGTTGACACATACCCACACAGGACCTACAAAACTAAAAACCACCAACTTTGCAACTCAATGAGAGATGAATGGATATAGGATTACACAATACTGGTTTCATATGGAGTAGTAATATCAGTATGACTCATTCTTAAACTTGAAGGCTTTGTATGAATTGATGAAATATGATGGAGTCCAAGTGATATAAGATGAATAAAGTTAGATTTTAAAATTGGATCAAGTGAAATTTCCCTAAGCTCCGTGTTATTCTTCAAAACTTGTCAAAAAAAAATTAATTATATAAGTTAGTTATAGTTATAAAATTATATTACCTTTCTTCCTATATATAAAAGATAATTTATTTTTTAAGTGTATTGATTAATGTAATTAATCAATTTATAAATTAGATATATTAATTATTTAATAAATCTAAAAAATTAATTATTTTTTATAAAAAAAGGGAGGTAGTAATTAACACGGGTGTTAGCATACAGATTAGGGCTGGCAATGAACCGAACCAACTCAAAAATAGTTCGGAATTCGATTCGACAATTAAATCGTTGAACTAGGTTCATGAACCAAATGAGTTGAGTATGAGCAAAAAATTAAGTTCGTTAACTAAATGAGCTGAACTTGAACTATACATAGTTCGACTCGTTAGGTTCATGAGTCAACTCGATTACATATGAGAAGAACTATACTGTCTTTAAGATTAGGTTTAAATATTTACTCCAAATCTTAGACAAATTTAATCTTCAATTTAGTAGTTTTTGAATTAGACTCTCAAATGTATCTCTTGAAAGTTGTGTAGGTTTTGAATTAGTAAATTTCGAAGATAAAGTTAAATTTCAATATGATAACTTTTATTTTATTTTAATATTTTATTTTAAAAATATATATTTATTTAAAATGTCAAATATCCTAAAAAAATATATAAATTTTAAAAAATAATTTTTAAGTTCGTGAATCATGTTAGCTGAACCTAATGAGATGAACCTAACGAGTTGAATCGAATTGTTCGTGAACTTATAACGAGTCGAGTTTGAGCTTAAAAAAAAGTTCGTGTCGAACTCGAGCTCGAACTTGAACTCGAACAATTTTTAACGAGTCGAGCTGAGCTGAGGTGAGTTCGACTCGACTCGACTCATTTCCAGCCCTGATACAGATTAAAAACTTTTAAAAACATCATGTATATATTACTTTGGTCCAATAATATAAATATAGAATAAGAATTTAACTTTATGTGCTTAATGTCAATATATATATATATATATATATATATAGGAATGAAAATCACGAGAAATAAGCAAATAGGAATCTTGCATTTATCCCAGTAAGAGTACATCAATCATGTTTTGCAAAGATTTAACATGGGAAAGGTCAAGTCAGTCAGCACACAGTTGGCTAGTCATTTTTGCCTATCCAAAGACTAGTCCCATCAGATAGAAGAAGAGAGAGAATTCATAACTTAGATCCCATGTGCTTCATCCATATGAAGTTTGATGTATGCAATGGTATGTATTAGGCTATACATTTGCCATGCAATGGAAGTTGTAAGCAGGTTTATAGAAAATCCATGAAAAAATAATTGGGAAGCAGTCAAGTGGATTTTGAGGTATATACGAGGGACCAGAAAGAAACGTATTTACTTTTGAAAAGGATAGTTAAAAGTAAAAGGCTACATAGATGTATACTTTGGAGGCGAAATTGATCACCGAAGAAGTACCACTGGTTACATTTTTATTGTTGGTACTATAGTTGTCGGTTGGATGTTACAGAGACAGAAGATTGTTGCTTTCTCCACTACAAATGTTGAGTATATAACATTAATGTAAGCTAATAAGGATTTGTTATGGCTTCAAGGATTATCAGTAGAGTTGGGATTCATCTCGGAGAAGATTTCTCTACATAGACTCAAAGTGTAATACATCTGGAAAAGAATTCAACACTTTACTCTAGGACAAAACACATTGATATATATTACCATTTCACTAGGTATTTGCTTGAAGATGAGGTGCTAACATTGAGAATGATTGCAAGAAGCAAGAACCCATCAGACATGTTAACAAATGTGGTGACCATGCCAAACTGAAGTTGTGTTCAACTTCAGTTGGCCTGTTAGAATGACACATCGATAAAGGCTGCTATTTAAACAAGATGTGAAGACTGATTGAAACTGATCTTCAAGTGGGAGATTTTTGGTCAAAATAAAAGGGACAGAAAGTGAAAAACAAATAAAAGGAAATAGAATAAAGAAGGTCCAAATCAATTAAAGGAAAAAAAATACATGGAGAAAGAATGATAGAATTTCTCTTTCATTATAACCGTTTATTTTATTTTATTGTTTCCTATAAAAGTAATGATTGTTTCATTTCTTTCAACATGTGCAAAATCGCATTAAGTGTAATAAAAACAAACGAGCTACAATCTAATTAGAAAAGAAGAAAAATTTTCTCACTAGAATTTTGTAAGAAATATTTAGAAGAGAATATTTCTTTGGGTGTAGCTGAGTTGTAAGTTTTGTGAGAGTGATTGTTAGTAAACATTATGTATATTTAACCTTATATTAATTTTAGTGCGCTTCCGCATTATTTTGTCCTTCCACAAATATGATAATTCTTGCGTAATTTCCTAATACCATATGATGTATGCAATTTACAAGGATTTAATATATATCAACTAGTAGACCTTGGGGGTATCTGAAACTCATAATCACATTCAGACAAAGAGGCACTAAAAAGGAAATCAAAGTACAATTTTTCGCACTCAAATGCAAATCCATCTACAATTGTAAATTCATTTATAAATGTCTATGTAATGATAAAATATCGCAATATTTCAAGTAGGGAATTTCTCTTTCCACCCTTAGGGATGCTCCCCCACCACCATGAAAAGTCACATATGTCCCTAGCATCCGGAAATGCATCTCCAGATGTATTTTTTTTTCACTCCTCGCGCAAATTGATGAGAAGCCCTTATTTTGCCAAAAAATAATCTAGAGATGGATCTCCTTATGTGTATTAGGCCTTTCTAAAGATGCATATATGTAAACACCATTAATTCAAAATTTAGTGAATGGTACGAAAATGCATCTCCGGATGAGGTTAATACACTAACCCATGCCAGACCCTTCTTTCTTCCTTCTTAATTTTCTTAAAACTCACTAAACCTAAAACAAACTCAACTGGTGCTTTTCCTCAATCGTTCAAGCTTTTCATTCAATCAAGTTTTTCACTACATTCTATTTCATTTGCTCCAAACCTTCTGACTTCATTCTAGTTTCTTTTCAACAACTTAAATTTGGTAGTTTTTTCAAAAATCATTCCTTTTTTGTGTTTTAAATGATCTTTTTAGGAAAAAAAGTTGTCTAAGTTACATTAGGTAGTGTTCAGTCGAAATATGTAGCCTAAATGGACATGCATTGAAAGTTTTTTTGGAGTTTGGGTGCAACAGTGTTACCTTCCATTTTTGTAAAATCACAGTTTTGTCTGTAGATGCATTTTCAGATTCTTTGTGAACTATTTTTGGAGATGTATCTTCAGATTTGGACATGGCCTAATTTTGGCTGTATTTTTTATTTTCCTATATGGTTTTATCGCAGGTGCAATTGCTGAAAACAACCATGGCAGAATTAGGATCAAACGTGTGTCCCAAACCGCGTATGTACACCGTGAGAAGGTCATCACTACCGCATCCAGGACCACGAGGCCACAACTTGATGAAATCTCATTTGATGGTTCACGTCACCGAGGTTCCCAACCATTTGGTTCTACTTCATGTAGTTATACGTCGCATGCCTATACTTCATAGGCGTTTACTTAACAGGGCCACGAGCCCCCAGGTGATAAAGCAGAACCTGAAGCCCTTGTATCCTATTCGCTACTGATGCCTCTTTAGAAAGATAACCAGGAGGCCCATTTGACACCTCCTTACTTCATCTCTATGTTGCTAGGCATGTGTGGGAAGGAATGATATATTTATTTACATTTATATATGTTTATATATATATATATATATATATATATATATATATATATATATATATATATATATATATATATATATATATATATATATATATATATATATATATATATATATATATATATATATATATATATATATATATATATATATATATATAAATTAATGGAATCCCGACTGATGTTGATTTTTTTTGCTAGAGTGTATGTGTTTGAAATAGGTAAACCACGGTCGGAAGATATTAGAATTGGAACAATCCATTGCAAATTGGTTCGTGAATGTTATTCGTTAATCTGATCTTGCCGGTTTATATGTCGATGTTGTGTACATGACCATAAACTATGACATGCAAGCAATATTTGTAGAGATATGGTGTAACACCCCAAAATAATTATAATATTTATTTAATTAATTTATTATAATTATTCATGATTTTCGGAGAATTTTGATGAAATATTATGACGCATGGTGTATTTGTTTTGTGTGTTGTGGGATATTGATGAGTTAAGAGAATAATGAGAGTATTTAGAAAATAAG